CCCATCTTCACACCAAACAATAAATTATACACTACAAATCAGAAAAATCAGCACAAAATCTTATTGTCACGTTCGTAACTATACTGACTTTGTAGTACATTGTCCTTGTATTTATCTAAAATATGTTAATCCCTCTAAACCATTCTAGCAAATAAACAACAATTAGTCTACCCTACATACCATCAGATTATAACTAGTTCATTAATTACTAATTAATAACTTATTGTAGGTACTGAGAAACAATTTACTTGAGTTTTATGACAATATTTAGGTCAAATCATTTCGTTATTTTCCTGTTATAATCTATAGGCAGATACAAAACAACCACTCAAAATTGCTGTTTAATTTTTAAATGTTGTTTAACTGAGGATTATAGGTACAATTATAAAACACAAGGCGCTTATTAAAATAATATTACATTCAAATAAGAAAATATATTTCCGTAAATTTATTTTGTGCTAAAAATTATTTTTTAAATCTAAAATTGATTATCAAGATTATAGGTACTTGTCGGTATTATTTAATTTAAAAATATCTGTGCCACCTACTAAAAATGGAAATTCCATTTCTTAAATTATTTATTAGTTGCCAAAGGCTATTCAAATGTGTGGAAACCTACTTACAAGCTGTTAATCTAGGAAATTCGAGGCAATCTAATGACGCGCTACTGTATGCTCTTAAAATAAGTTGAAATGCGTAAATGAAAATGAAAATTACAATTCAATTATGACAACAAAATACTTGGCCAATATTTATAAAGTTCTATTTAATCACTCAATTGCTATGATACCCGTTCTCACGCCCCCTCTGTTGATATCACATCGACTACGTAAGGGGAAATTGGGTACTCCTCAGACGAGAGTCATTTCACACCCGCCCCAATCATCAGGGATCAATTAAGCTTGTACATCCCCCGGGATAGAATTCCGGGTGCACATCTCTATTATATTAACTGTTCAATATATATATACACTTTCCCTCTCACAATGAATTTCATACAGTCGCTTCATTCAATTTCGATAGGGATTGTGTAATCTCTTCTACTTGCTTATACGTTTGTTGTTATAAGTCATTGGGGTGTTTTATAGGAACTCATTTTTTAATAAATTGAGTTTATATTATAAATTAATCAAGCAATACAGCACTTAATTCAACTATATTTATTTACATTTTTTATTTTTTTTGTTTTTATAGATAATTCTGCAAAAAAATGATTAAGCGAGTTATATACACGACATAAAACTGACAGTTTAATTTGCAGGATGGAACTGTTTAAAAATTAGCAACTTTTACGAAAAATGGAATCAAAACTTACTAGAAACCGTTTCGAAGAAATAAAGCAAGCAATAAATACACCACCTGTTTAAGAATTACTGAGGCCCTTTCTCAGTATTGAATTCGTGAAGACGAAAAAATTTTCTTACCCCCCTTTTTAAAAACTTGTTTTTATGTTTCCGATCATTCTACGAAAATGCAAAATGCAAAAAAAAAATTTCGTCTGGTCGTCTGTGTGTATGTATGCCGGAACAATAACTCTAGAACGAAAGTTCTGATTGACTTACGGTTTTGATTTTCTTGAATAATTACTTCTAACTTAGAACTCAATTGATTTTTAGAATTTTCGGTTCATCCTAACTACTTTAATATCAATTTTCTCAAAATCCGCCTATGCAATTCTTATGTGACAATATTAGGAATTTCAATTATTTCTTACGTCAACATTCCTAACATTCTCAACATTCCATAAATTGTAAACATTCTATAACGACCTGTGAAACAACAGCTGTTGATAGTAAAGGTGAAATTTCTAAGGCGGGTTGCGACCTTCATACTTGCAACCATAGCCATTTTGAAGGCTATTTTTATTCGAAATTAGTCGCCAAGCCTGCCAATTTATGAAAAATATATAAGCAGTTTCTTAAAAATGACTTTTTTATGGTGGTGCTAACTTAAGCGTACTACTATTTCGCCCCTAGCCACAAAAACACCATCAAATTTACTGGCTCTCTGTCGGAACCCCATAGAATACTTAACCGGCTATTTTATTTGGCAAAAAGCAGAACAATGCTTGTCAAGTATCAAGATGTCAACTGTGATGTGTGAATGGCTCTTAAATGTCAAATTATTTAAAAATGTATGCTTCTTTTGATATTTATAGCAAATAATTTGTAGTGTATCTCAATTCAGGTTTTCCATAAGACAGACAGACAGACAGACAGACAGACAGACAGACAGACAGACAGACAGACAGACAGACAGACAGACAGACAGACAGACAGACAGACAGACAGACAGACAGACAGACAGACAGACAGACAGACAGACAGACAGACAGACAGACAGACAGACAGACAGACAGACAGACAGACAGACAGACAGACAGACAGACAGACAGACAGACAGACAGACAGACAGACAGACAGACAGACAGACAGACAGACAGACAGACAGACAGACAGACAGACAGACAGACAGACAGACAGACAGACAGACAGACAGACAGACAGACAGACAGACAGACAGACAGACAGACAGACAGACAGACAGACAGACAGACAGACAGACAGACAGACAGACAGACAGACAGACAGACAGACAGACAGACAGACAGACAGACAGACAGACAGACAGACAGACAGACAGACAGACAGACAGACAGACAGACAGACAGACAGACAGACAGACAGACAGACAGACAGACAGACAGACAGACAGACAGACAGACAGACAGACAGACAGACAGACAGACAGACAGACAGACAGACAGACAGACAGACAGACAGACAGACAGACAGACAGACAGACAGACAGACAGACAGACAGACAGACAGACAGACAGACAGACAGACAGACAGACAGACAGACAGACAGACAGACAGACAGACAGACAGACAGACAGACAGACAGACAGACAGACAGACAGACAGACAGACAGACAGACAGACAGACAGACAGACAGACAGACAGACAGACAGACAGACAGACAGACAGACAGACAGACAGACAGACAGACAGACAGACAGACAGACAGACAGACAGACAGACAGACAGACAGACAGACAGACAGACAGACAGACAGACAGACAGACAGACAGACAGACAGACAGACAGACAGACAGACAGACAGACAGACAGACAGACAGACAGACAGACAGACAGACAGACAGACAGACAGACAGACAGACAGACAGACAGACAGACAGACAGACAGACAGACAGACAGACAGACAGACAGACAGACAGACAGACAGACAGACAGACAGACAGACAGACAGACAGACAGACAGACAGACAGACAGACAGACAGACAGACAGACAGACAGACAGACAGACAGACAGACAGACAGACAGACAGACAGACAGACAGACAGACAGACAGACAGACAGACAGACAGACAGACAGACAGACAGACAGACAGACAGACAGACAGACAGACAGACAGACAGACAGACAGACAGACAGACAGACAGACAGACAGACAGACAGACAGACAGACAGACAGACAGACAGACAGACAGACAGACAGACAGACAGACAGACAGACAGACAGACAGACAGACAGACAGACAGACAGACAGACAGACAGACAGACAGACAGACAGACAGACAGACAGACAGACAGACAGACAGACAGACAGACAGACAGACAGACAGACAGACAGACAGACAGACAGACAGACAGACAGACAGACAGACAGACAGACAGACAGACAGACAGACAGACAGACAGACAGACAGACAGACAGACAGACAGACAGACAGACAGACAGACAGACAGACAGACAGACAGACAGACAGACAGACAGACAGACAGACAGACAGACAGACAGACAGACAGACAGACAGACAGACAGACAGACAGACAGACAGACAGACAGACAGACAGACAGACAGACAGACAGACAGACAGACAGACAGACAGACAGACAGACAGACAGACAGACAGACAGACAGACAGACAGACAGACAGACAGACAGACAGACAGACAGACAGACAGACAGACAGACAGACAGACAGACAGACAGACAGACAGACAGACAGACAGACAGACAGACAGACAGACAGACAGACAGACAGACAGACAGACAGACAGACAGACAGACAGACAGACAGACAGACAGACAGACAGACAGACAGACAGACAGACAGACAGACAGACAGACAGACAGACAGACAGACAGACAGACAGACAGACAGACAGACAGACAGACAGACAGACAGACAGACAGACAGACAGACAGACAGACAGACAGACAGACAGACAGACAGACAGACAGACAGACAGACAGACAGACAGACAGACAGACAGACAGACAGACAGACAGACAGACAGACAGACAGACAGACAGACAGACAGACAGGACAGACAGACAGACAGACAGACAGACAGACAGACAGACAGACAGACAGACAGACAGACAGACAGACAGACAGACAGACAGACAGACAGACAGACAGACAGACAGACAGACAGACAGACAGACAGACAGACAGACAGA